GAAAAAAAGTTAACTGATTTTTAAATTTTATTTCAGTTTAAAGGAATAGTACACCCAAAACATGATTAGCCTTCATCAGAGATGGCAAAAGTACTAACTTTCCGTACTTAAGTAAAAGTACAGATACTTGTGTTAAAAAATACTCTGGTAAAAGTGGAAGTACTGATTAAACTTCTTTACTCAAGTAAAAGTAACAAAGTACAGGCTTGTAAATTTACTTAAAGTATAAAAGTAAAAGTAGAAACCACTTTTTTCATGCCGTTGCCTACATTTTAAATGGATGTCTGCCAATAGGACTAGATCTCCGTTGTGTTCATTTTCAATCATCTCGTCGTCCATGCTACTATGCTAACGCCACCGCCACCAAGCTGCAATGATTTGCCGCCAATGAATACCGCCGAATCTGTCGATTCATCTTGTAGTGGTGCGTCAAATGCAACGTAGATTCCCATCCAATTAGATTGAATTTGGTATTGATGACGTGAAAAATAGTAACGGTAACTCCATTGAAATGATTCAAAACTAAAGTAACGAGCCAATTTTTTTTAAATGTAAGGAGTAGAAAGTACAGATATTTGTGTAAAAATGTAAGGAGTAGAAGTAAAAAGTCGCCATAAAAATAAGTAGTAAAGTAAAGTAAAAATATCAGAAAAATCTACTTGAGTACAGTAACAAAGTATTTGTACTTCGTTACTTCCCATCTCTGGCCTTCATTTTCTACTCACCCCCATGCTAAACAACTCTGGAGCATAAGCGTCGTTAGACCTATTTAAGGGTGGCTTCAGCCACCCTTTCTTTGGCATTAGCCACCCTATAATTATTTTGCGATTTTAAAAAATATATATATTTTTTCTGTATTTATTTTTTCCTCATATTTTCCCAAAACAAATGCAGTAAAGCACCGAATAAAAGCCATAAAGAAGACAAGTTAATCTGAACAATCATAGGCGTAACTTCCTTAAGGACTGGTGTGGACATGTCCCCACCAATATTTTGTACACGTATTTTGCTTTCGGTGCTGTGTATTCTGATTAAAACCCCATTCATGCCGCTCCTCAGAAAGAAAAAAAAAAAAGTTCTCCCCGCTGCTCACCGTCCACAAACCCCGACAAAAAAACTCAGAAAAAAGAATCTGTTGCCTCTCGCTTTCTCCCCATCACCCCCCTCCAACCTCTCCCCATAACATTTGAATTGAAGATATCCGCGGGAGACGGGTCGGGTTCGGTAGTCATCCTAACGGGTTCGGGCGGGTGCGTGTTGGTAAAACTCGACCCATGCAGGTCTCTAAGCTACACTACAATCAGTATCGTTGCCATAGAAACAGACAACAGCGCCAAATCAGAATTATACTAAAACACACGCAAATAATTTCCCACATAAAAAACAGGACTTTCAGTCCATTACAGTTTTCCGTTTTTAGAGGGTTGTTTATTTTGCGTTTATTAAGTGATGGCTGTGGTATATTAGCTTTCACTGCTATAAGCTTTCGCAGCAGTGATTGATTAATTTAAGCAGCTGCTCTACTGATGGTCTATCGGAGTTGGTGTTTAGGTTGAACATAAAGAACACCTTTTATTTGAAGCTTCTTGTAGCTACTGTTTTAATCCCGGCTTTACTTAAAACTTTTTCCTGACTTTGATAGTGTTGCCATTCAGTTGCAAGCACTGCGCCCCTTTTTCTTTTATATGTACACGTACATTTAAGATTTAGCGTGTTATGTTAACAACTCATGAGCAAGCTGCTTTTTGCAATCTAGCAGGAAGGTAAGGATAGGATCTTGCAGGTGTGACGTCACTCTGCAGGGGGTCCAAAGATAAAAGATTTAAACAATTTTGGCATTGGAATTTCAGATTTAAGGGAGTTAGAAAGTTCACTTAGTAAAAGTGCAAATAATAAATCTGATTACCGATTACTTTTAAGCAGGTTGAACATACTGCGACAGACTGGTGACCTGTCCAGGGTGATCCCACCTCTCACCCAGAACGTGGCTAGAGATATGCACCAGCACCTCCTGATCCCACTGAGGGATAAGGTTAAAGAAAATGGATGGTTGAACATAGTCCGTTCTCCCAGATTCTATCAAATCAGTAGTGATACCCTCAGGGGCGGATTTAGGAAATTTGGGGCCCTAGGCAAAGACAGGCATGGGGCCCCCTGAGAAGAAAACCCATAAAACAGACCCATTCTACAGATAGAGAAATGTTAATAGAATAGACATCCATTATTTGTTCTAGGTTTTGTCCCTCTCTTCTTGTCCCTTTTTTCTCTCTATTTATCAGCGTTCTGATGGCATTTTAGCCAAAGGATTTTTATCAAAAACATAATTAATGTGCACAAATAAGGATTAGTTGTATTAACGATACATGGAAACAGAGTTTTATGGGGCCCCCAGAACTTGGGGCCCTGGGCAACTGCCTAGTATTGCCTAATGGTAAATCCCCCCCTGGATACCCTGCTGGTGGATGTTCTTGACAGAAAGACGGAGTTGCTTAATCATATTCTGCTTAAGGTCCCATAAGATCTTGTCCGAGTCCTGGTTTAAAAGTAAATTAATTTTAAAAAGTGACCCAAAATTGACTGTCAATAAATGTTCTACAAAATTGATATATTTATTTGATTTGTACTGTCTGTTTAGATTTATGTGATATTTTTTGCACAAAATATATAAGTGAATATTGTAACAGTTATGTTTTCAACTGTAAGCATTAAATTGATAAATGTTATTCGCATTTTTTTGGCTTTATCCTTTCCAACAAAAAAAAAAGGCGTCGCGCAGGTAGCTCCCTTTCCTTATGAGCCGTCCCCACCAACTTTCAACACAAAGTTACACCCTTGTCTTAGACAACGCCTTAGCAGGTGCACTGAAAAAATTCGGCGCGCGCTATGCGCGCGCATTATCTTCTAGGGGCTGAGCCACCCTTGTGTCCTAAACCTAGAGACGCCCCTGCTCTGGAGTACTTTTTTGATATCTCAAATGCATCTGGAGATCTGGGAGGCTTCTTGCTGTCTGCTGACATTCAAATAATGGAGGTCTATGGCGCCCGAGGCAGAAAGGTCCATAAAAGTCCACAAAAAACGTGTCAATATTCCTCCATACTGCTCGTCCAATGTATTCCAAGTGTCCTGAGTGGGTAGCATCAAGAATTTACTCGAAACAAAGTCATTTAGAATGTTTTTAGAGCATAAACAGTAGTGTATAGGATTTCCTAAAAGCGCGTTCATGACACTACGGAAACCGCGGCAGACCAAACCAGATGAAAGTGCGCATTCAGCGTCTGCTCTGTCAATAATGCAAGCGTAGAAGAAGAAATGTGCTGTTTACCTGTGCAAAGACAGAAACAACGAAAGAAAAATGTCTGAGGACTTCAGTGTTGAGGAAGAGCATGAGTTCTTTGCCGAGCTGAATGCGCACTTTCGTCTGGTTTGGTCTGCCGCGGTTTCCGTAGACTCGTGAACTCGCTTTCAGGAAATCCTATACACTACTGTTTAGGCTCTAAAAACATTCTAAATGACTTCATTTCCAGTAAATTCTGGACGCTACCCACTCAGGACACTTGGAATACATTGGACGAGCAGTATGGAGGAATATTGACACGTTTTTTGTGGACTTTTATGGACCTTTCTGCCTCGGGCGCCAGACCTCCATTATTTGAATGTCAGCAGACAGCAAGAAGCCTCCCAGATCTCCAGATGCATTTGAGATATCCAAAAAGTACTCCAGAGTGTTGTTCAGCATGGGGGTGAGTAGAAAATGAAGGCTAATCATGTTTTGGGTGTACTATTCCTTTAATATGAATTCTGACTTTAATCTCAGAATTCTGACTTTTTTCCTCAGAATTCTGACTTTTCACCGGGTCCTCAGTGATGCTATGTCATTAATGGAAAAGCAGAAAGTTATTAAACAAGAGAGTTTAGTCTCTAAAACAGACATGGCTACAGTTTGATCCTCACGTGTCTGTTACCTATCATTATTCAGTCCCAATTCTGAGATTAAATTCAGAATTCTAAGAAAAAAGTCTGAATTTGGACTTTTTCCCCCATATTAAACTGAAATATTTAAAAATCAGTTAAATTTTATTTCAGTTTAATATGAATTCTGACTTTAATCTCAGAATTCTGACTTTAATCTCAGAATTCTGACTTTAATCTCAGAATTCTGACTTTAATCTCAGAATGTTGGATCTTTACGGAAGAGGATTAGGGCCAATGGAAAAAAAAAAAAAAAAGTTAACTGATTTTTTAAATTTTATTTCAGTATAGTATGGGAAAAAAGTCAGAATTCTGACTTTAATCTGAGAATTTTGACTTTTTTCTCAGAATTCTGACTTTTTTTATTGTCAGATTCAGTCAGAATTCTGAGATTAAAGTCAGAATTCTGAGAAAAAAGACAGAATTCTGACTTTAATCTCAGAATTCTCACTTTAATCTCAGAATTTTGGATCTTAATGTAGATGGGCACCATAAAGGAAGAGATGTGGGAGCACTCAGCTTCACCGACAAAGATGTGAGTTGTTTGAGGTGGCCAGTGACACATTGGTGGAAAATGATGAAATAAGGCAACTTTTTACGTGCCCGAGGGGTCCCCTCATTAATGGAGGAGCAGAAGGTCATTAAAACAAGAGAGCTAGTCTCTAAAACAGACATGGCTACGGCTTGATGCTAACATGTTTGTTAGCTGACAGAATTCTGAGAAAAAAGTCAGAATTCTGACTTTTTTTCCCCATATTAAACTAAAAATAAAATAAAACAAATTAGTTAACTTTTTTGTTTTTTCAGTGGCCCTAATCCTCTTCCGTATAATCCTCTTGTATTTTTTGGGGGGGCAATTAATTATATGCTTATTTTTTTCTTTCTGTATTTGTAAATATGGCAGAGCTGGTCCTCCACAGTTGCTGACTAATTATCAGGGAACAAGCACAGGTGTTGAGCTGATTAAAGCAGGCCAGGGTTTATCTTGTGAGCGATCAGAGCTTCTGCAGGCGAACTTTCTAATGAACTCATTAGTCGGAGTCACGACGCAGCTGCCGGAGCAGCCAGCCGTTTCTAGCTGCCGCTTTAACACCCATTTCCCCCCATTGTTAGGCGGTCGTGAACAGGAAGATGGAAACGAAAGCGGAGAGCGAAGGAGGGGGGCGGGGCGTTATTTAAACACGCACTCCGTCCGTCCGTCTGTCTGTCCGTCCGTACAATGAGGCGCAGACCAGGGGCCGCATGTGGAGCGGAGAGCTGCGGTCATCACGGAGATCCGCTGCAGGGGAGCCGCTGATCGGATCCGGATCTCTGAGTCCCCGATGACAGCGTCCTTCATCATCGCTTCGCTGCTTAGAGGAAACATTATCTGCGACCGTTTTATGTTTGGTTTTTACTTTATATTTATGTCTAAATATATACTGTATATATAAAAAGGCGAGATAGAGAATAAGGAGCAGGTGCGGTGCGCCTGTCCCGCAGGTTGTCCCGCAGGTTGTCCCGCAGGCTGAAGACTGAGATCCGCTGAAGCTGCTGCAGGAATGGCATCAACGATAGAGAGGAAAACACTGGAGGCCAATGAGTGAGTCTGAGGATTTAAAAATAACAGCTGATGTTTAAAAATAACAACCAAACTACATTCTGGGTTACAAACTAATTGGGTCAAAAAGCTTAGAATTAAACGTTATTTACAAATAAGTGGATAAAACCACTTCTTTTTTTTTTTTTTAAGCAGTCCCACGTGATCTAAAGCAGGAATTCAACTTATAAAATATACAATCAGGAAATCAACATGAAAGTATTATTGCAGATTTTACAGATGGGTTGATTTAATGGTTAAGATAAAGAGACATTTGAACATTTTACTGCACTAGATCAGCAAAAGCAAATTGAAGATTTTTTATGTTTCCTGTTTTCACATAAGTGACTTACAGGCAAATTTAGGGGGCGAAAATGGTAAAAAAAGCCTTTGAATTTGGTTTCAGTGATCATATGACTATTTAATCTGATTTAAAGACTTGTAGGAAGCCTTTACATAATTATTTTTATGATCTACAGCAGGAATTCTACTTATAATGACATATAATCAAATCATAATGAAAATATTATTGCAGATTTTACAGATGGGGTTTATTTAATGTTAAGATAATGACAAACAAATGCAGGAAGCAATTGAACATTTTTAGTGCACTAGATCTGCAAAACAAATGGAACAATTTTATGTTTCCTGTTTTCACATAAGTGACTTACAAGCAAATTTAGGGGGCGAAAATGAAGAAAAAAAAGCTTCGAATTAGGTTTCAGTAATCATATGACCATTTTATCTGATTAAAAACGTGCAGGAAGCCTTAAAATGAATTTTACGTCATTGCTAAATTGGTTTGAAAATGTACGAAAGTAAAACATAAAATTTGACATTCATTAAGCGATTAAAATATTCATATTAAGTAGTTTTTAAAGGGATTACAGACTACATGGTTATTGGTACACCTAAAAATCCTTATAAATTGAAGTTATTTTTTATTTATAAATTATACTTTTTAAGTTGATCAGATTTTGTTTCTTTTAGCCTTTTGCTGTTAAGCTGAAGGAGGACCCACATTTATCCTGTTACCATGCAAAGAGAATGCACAGTGATAACATGACTTTACTAGGGATGCACAATATTGGGATTTTGGCCGATATCCGATATGCCGATATTTTAAAACTCATGTAGCCGATAACTGATATCGATACTGATGTTAAAGCTGGACAAAAATAAGTAGTAATTAAAAATAGCAGTTTTGTTATCCATTTCTGACACTTTGAAAAATAATATGATTTTAAAAAACGTGGTATCGATCTATTTTACTTTCAAAATCTCGTGAAATTTCATCGTTCTGTTACAAACTCTCGTGATATTTTGCAAATTCTTGTGAGATTTTGTTAGTAAAATAGATCGATACCGCGTCAATATATCAACATATAAAAATATGGCAAAATTTCGTGAATTTTCGGGGGATTTCGTAGCATAACGATGACATATAGCAATATTTCATTAGTAAAAGAGATTGATATGGTGTTTTTAAAAGGCAATATATCAGCATATGAAGATATTGGGATATTTTAATGTATCAATATTTTTTCCCTCGTCTTAAGAAGTTTTTAAGTCTGTAAAAAAGAAGTTTTTGAGGAAGAAGAAGTAGTATTTTTTTTTTTTTTTTAGACTTTAGAAACTCAGAAGCTGATCAAATATCGGGTTAAATATCGGTGGGGTGGCCGATGTCCGATATTCAGTTTTAAGGCCGATACCGATAGGGGGCCGATTATATCGTGCATCCCTACATTTAACAGTTCTCCTACCTCAGTGTGTTAAATAAAGCAAAAAGTAGCATATATGGACAAAAAGTCTCAGAAATAACCATGAAATGATAAACATAGTGGTGGAGTTTGTGTATCTCAAGTGAGACTCACGCTGGCACCATGTGCTGCTGAAATAAGGCATAACGTAGGGGTGGAGGGTGGTTGAGGACCTAAATGCAGAGATGAGGAGCCAGAGAGTTTTGCTGATTTAATTAAAAAGGAAACAGAAACAAAATCCAAGAACCAAAATACAGGAAACTAAAAACCGGGAGATGTCGGGGGGGGAAAACGCGCATGAGGAGCCAATTAACAACAAGAAACTAGCAGAAGCAACTGAAGATGAGAAGTAAATATGGAGGACAGAACAAAGAATGGACTAATCAGCTGATATGGAGCAGGTGTGGATAGAAGTAACTAGAAGGGAGCCAAGGGGAAATTAGAATGGCACAACAAGGCAACAGAGAGTAACTCAAAAAATGCAACACAGCTTGAATATAACACAGAATGACCAACAAAACAGAATGACTTGAATAAGTAAAAACTCCAGAACCTTAACAGTTTTAACTTTTTTGCAAAGACTCCTTTGATAAGTGGACACTGTGAAGGATGGTGGTGTGTCCATGATGCTGTGGGCCTGTTTCTCCTCTAAGAGTCGTGTAAGAGTGCAGTGTTAAAGTGAATGTTTCAAATAAATTATTTATTTTATAGTGAAATCTGTGTTGGTAAACTTAAAACGGGTCAGAAGACCAATAGAAATATTTCAGCAGACGCAAAATCAATAAAGTATTTTTCTTTATCTTAATGTATTCAAATAACATTTTCTATGCAATAAAAAAGTTTATTTTAAGTTTTTTTTTTTTTTTTTTACCCATCTTCACTAGGGCTGCAAGGAAAAGTAACATACAGGGGGGAAAAAGCAATACTAACTGTCTCATTTCTGGTTCAGGGAGCCAGTTGATGAGGTTCTTCAGATGCCTCCATCCCTGCTGACATGTGGTGGGTGTCAGCAGAGCATCGGTGACCGCTTCTTCCTGAAGGCCATTGAGCAGTACTGGCATGAGGACTGCCTTAGCTGCGACCTCTGCGGCTGTCGGCTTGGAGAGGTGGGCCGGAGGCTCTACTATAAGCTGGGGAGGAAGCTCTGTCGTCGGGATTATCTCAGGTGAACATTTGCTGGTATCAATAGAAGCTTGTTTAAACGTGCAGTAATATTGGGTCAAACACTAAACCTCCTGTTTCTGCCTCATCCCACCAGGCTCTTCGGTCAGGATGGTCTCTGCGCCTCCTGCGAAAAAAGAATCCGAGCGTTTGAGATGACGATGCGCGTCCGGGACAAGGTTTACCATCTCGAGTGCTTCAAGTGTGCCGCCTGCCAGAAGCACTTCTGTGTCGGGGATCGCTACCTTCTCCTCAACTCCGACATCGTGTGTGAGCAGGACATTTTTGAGTGGACCAAGCTCAACAACAGCAGCGTGGTTTAGGGCGATAACCGTGTGGCTTTTCTGGCTGCCTTGATGAACAGCTGTCTTTAAAGCCCATACAGGCTTATTCATGCAATACGACTGGAATTAAACGAGGAGCGGACTTGCATCTAAACATTTCCGCATGCAAACCTGCGCTTAAGGTTTAAACATTTCTAATCGTAAAGAACAAACGGGGAAAAAAAAAACTTTAAGACTAAAGATGTTTGACTTTGTTATACACTGAGTTTTGTAAAGGTATAAATGAACAAAAAAAGCATCCTAGCTTGGGGGTGTTTAAACCTTTTTCAGGTTTTCTCATAGTCGGACACTTTTAAACCTCTATAATGCTGAATAATACTATTAGTAGGCTTCTTTTTACTGGCTTTGTATTTTTAAATCATGTATAAATAATTATGCAGAAATCTACAATAATTTCTTATGTTATTTTCCTTTGGACAAATTTTCTGATTAGGAAAAAAAACAAAACATTGAGCTAACGAATAATTTGTAAAATATTATTTAAAATCACTGAGAAATGCTTTTACACATCAAACCTATGGAAGCAAATCGTTATCATATTTCAAATGAAAAAACATTTTCAGAAATTCTTTTTCATTTTAAGAATGTGGCTGCATTGTTTGACTCATAAATAAAATTAGTGATCAATCATCTTATTTGCATTTTAATTTTCTTCTTGAAGACTGCTCATCCTTTTCCTTAATTAAAATGAAAAAGAAAAAGACATTTGTCTTTTTCTCAAATGTCTTTTTCATTTTAATTAAGGAAAAGGATGAGCAGTCTTTAAGAAGAAAATTAAAATGCAAATAGGATTATTGATTACTAATTTATGAGTCAAGTAATGCAGCCACATTCTTAAAATGAAAAAGCATTTCTGAAAATGGTTTTTCATTTGAAATATGGTAACAATTTGCTTCCATACAAACCTTCCTGACAAAGGATTTTCTTTTGCCAGGTTGAACTAGTGGCGCCCTCTTGTGGATGAGAGTAACCATGGAGGGAAAAAAAGGTTAATTTCTGCAACATTCCTGATTTTCCTAAATCTTGTTTTTTTTTCCACTGCTCATATATTTAATAAATACCAATTTAAGTGGAACTTATTTTGTTTAATGTATATTTGTCTGAGACTTAGAAAATAAATAAAAAATACGGAGGTCCCTGAAATCCAAACCTTCTGGTTAAGATGAATATGATTATTCTTTTCTATAAAGCCAAATTCAAATCTTTGCATTTCTGTCTAAAGAAAATGTATAGATATTACAAAGATAGATTTGAAGTTACTTTTTCTTCAAGTTTATATTTTAAAATTATGAAGATTAATTAGAAGCAGCCAGACTTAGAAATAAGAAGCTATTTGTTAATTTCTTTTAGGTTGAAAGATTGATCTCCATTTTTTTTTACTATTTCTAAGGTTTGTAAAAGAGGCCATTGTTGTAAAACCACTGTACGCTTTATTCAATTACTTTTATCACATAAAAGTAATTGAAATTCTTATTTAATTCTGTGAAAAAAAGTAAAAAAAAAAGATTTACATATTAAAAACATTTACCTTTAGTCAGAAATCCATCCATTTTCCGTCACGCTTGTCACTGGTTTCCAGTCCATCGCAGGGCAAAACAGAGACAAATGCGATGAACAAAAATTCATGCACACACTGACCTAAGGAGAATTTAGAGAAGCCAATTAACCTGACAGGCATGTTTTTGGGTTGTGGAAGGAAGCTGGAGTACCCGGAGAGAACCGACACATGCTCAGGGAGAACATGCAAACTTCATGCAGAAAGACCCTGGAATCGAATGCACTGTGCAGCCCTTTAGTCAAAAATTAATATGTAGAATAAAGTCCTTAGTAAATGCACTTAATTGTTCTTTGTAAATAAACTTGCCTGTTTTGCCTTGCCTAGAGCCAACATAAAGTATCATCTTATCCTTTTGTGATTTTATTTTCTCATAAAAGTGGAATTTTAAGACCTGAATATAACAGAACTTTACAAAGTTATAAGTTGTACAGGAACAATTGAGTGTGAAAGGTGAAAAAATGTCTCCACAAAATTAGAGGTTGGAAACTAAAGAGCCAAATCCCAACAAAGGTATCATCACCTTAACAAGAAAATTGAAAATAATTTTTTTGTTTGCATAACTAACATCCTGACATGTGCTTGTTCAAAAATGACTTTTTGTGCCTTCAGAGGAAAAGTAGTCTCATTGAAAAAAACGCATAACTCCCAGGTTGGTCCTTAAGGAAAAACATGGCATCTGGCTCCTAAATACATGAACAAACCTGACAAAAAAAAAAAAAAAAAAAAAAAAACACTTTGGAAAAACTTTCTTTAAAATTATAGAAACTTTTTCTACCATTTTTTTTTAAACAATACTTTATTGTCTACGGAAGAGGATTAGGGCCACTGGAAAAAAAAAAAAGTAAACTGATTTTTTAATTTTATTTCAGTTTTACATGGGAAAAAAGTCAGAATTCTGACTTTTTTCTCAGAATTCTGACTTTTTTCTCAGAATTCTGAGATTAAAGTCAGAATTCTGACTTTTTTCTCAGAATTCTGACTTTAATCTCAGAATTCTGACTTTAATCTCAGAATTCTGACTTTTTTTATTGTCAGAATTCAGTCAGAATTCTGAGAAAAAAGTCAGAATTCTGAGAAAAAAGTCAGAATTCTGACATTAAAGTCAGAATTCTGACTTTTTTCCCATACTGTACTGAAATAAAATAAAAAAAATCAGTTAACTTTTTTTTTTTTTCAGTGGCCCTAATCCTCTTCCGTAATTGTCTTTTAGAAACAAGACAAACAACAATTCAGCACAGCCAAGTCTAATACAAAATCTGAAATGTCCACCTGTACAAAATTTCAAATACACATCAGGGTCAAAACCTATAATCCGTATGGTAGGTCGAGGGGAAAAAAAGATAAACAAATTTTCTACCATTTTTGATAAATTCATGGGTTAGCTTCACTAAGAAATCACACCCAAGGAATAATCACATAGGAAACTCTCATTTTTTATTAACAAAAAATGCAGTTTATATATTAAACAGAATTATGAATAATTAAATGAGCAGAGAAAGACTTAGAAATAAGAGTCTATTTACTCATTTGTTTTAGTTTGAAAGATTGGCCCTTTTGAAATGCTGTGTTTTTTAGATTTAACAAGAAAATGACAGAGACGTTATATCAAATATTTGTTGGTTGTTTGTTAGATTTTAGTTCCTAATGAGGAGTTTGACAACCTGTTTGCATCTCACACTGAAAAGATAAAACATGTGACCAGTTTTAACCACAAGAGGTCGCTAAATGATTAAAAAAAAGGAAGAAGCCTTATAGAGAAGCAGGGAAGCTGCTGATTGGCTGATTTTATTGCTTTTTCTACATAATACAGGATGCAATAGAGATTCATTTAGCAGTTCCAGTCATCATGGCTTCTAAAGAATTCCAGATGCAAAAATAGACATCTCTATTTTCCCCCATTTTATTAGTGTTTTAGTTCAATACTTAACTAAACTGGCTTCCAATACCAATCCAACACCTTTCTTACATTTATCCATGCAAATGAATGGCCTTATATGTTGACTTTAAAATAATGGACACTCAATTGCACAATGGCTGTTGAATATGTTAACGCAAGGAAGTCACAATATTATTCAAAAACGAATAGTTGCTGTGACAAAGAGAAACTAGGAAAAAACAAAGGAGGAAGACGAAGCACAGAAGTCTCAAGAACATTAGCTGGTTCCGACATAAGTTGATTCAGTCACAAAGCAGGGAACGAAGCATCAGCAGCAGACAAAACCCACCCAGGCTGTGAAAAAAGATGCTTGTGGGGAAACTAATGAGCTTTCCCACATTAGAGATGGGAATATACTGTGCAGGCTTACAGAGGGATAATGTGCCATCGCTCATTTGGAGGTCTGCACAACTGTCAGTATGGTGTTAAGCAATACTTGAGGAATGCTGGAGTAAAAGGGACTGATATGTGGCGGTCTCATAAAAAAAAAGAGCTAAACATTAAACGGCATGTTAAAAATATGTGTTTATGGCAAACAGAAAAAAGCAAATCGAATTTAGTAGCTTTTTGGAAGAGATTTCAAAACAGAATTTGACAATATGTGTTGAATGTATGACAGCAAAAGAAGATGCATTTGAAAAATGCACCATTTCAGAAATCCTTAGCTTTTAGCCCAAAACAAAGGTCAATCATTGATTTGTCTTCCCCCTTCTTCAATATTTTCCAGGCCGATGTCAGATGTCACTTGTTCAGACCACCTTCCTTCCTGTTCTGGACTATGGAGACATCATATATATGAATGCTGCCTCCTCAGCTCTCCACTCCCTGGACATAGTTTATCACAGTGCTTTACGTTTCATCACCAACTCTGCCTTCAGGACTCATCATTGTGAACTGTATGCTCTGGTTTCATGGCCCTCTCTAAGCCTCAGAAGACAACATCATTGGCTTACTTTTATTAAAGGAATAGTACACCCAAAACATGATTAGCCTTCATTTTCTACTCACCCCCATGCTGAACAACACTCTGGAGTACTTTTTTGATATCTCAAATGCATCTGGAGATCTGGGAGGCTTCTTGCTGTCTGCTGACATTCAAATAATGGAGGTCTATGGCGCCCGAGGCAGAAAGGTCCATAAAAGTCCACAAAAAACGTGTCAATATTCCTCCATACTGCTCGTCCAATGTATTCCAAGTGTCCTGAGTGGGTAGCGTCCAGAATTTACTCGAAACGAAGTAATTTAGAATGTTTTTAGAGCATAAACAGTAGTGTATAGGATTTCCTAAAAGCGCGTTCACGAGTCTACGGAAACCGCGACAGACCAAACCAGATGAAAGTGCGCATTCAGCTCGGCAAAGAACTCATGCTCTTCCTCAACACTGAAGTCCTCAGACATTTTTCTTTCGTTGTTCCTTTCTTTGCACAGGTAAACAGCACATTTCTTCTTCTACGCTTGCATTATTGGCAGAGCAGACGCTGAATGCGCACTTTCATCTGGTTTGGTCAGCCGGTTTCCGTAGACTCGTGAACGCGCTTTTAGGAAATCCTATCCACTAGTGTTTATGCTCTAAAAACATTCTAAATGACTTCGTTTCGAGTAAATTCTGGATGCTACCCACTCAGGACACTTGGAATACATTGGACGAGCAGTATGGAGG